ACACACACACACACACACACACACACACACACACACACACACACACATACACACGTTTTCTCATTTACACTACAAATGAGTGTAAAATCATCATCAACAAGACAGGGCGGACTTGTGATGATTGCTCACATCTTATTGGCCTTCCAGGTCAGGTAGGAGTTCCAAGTAACAGCAACAATCTGGACGACAGCCAATCTGCAAGCAGGAGGAGGTTTCACACGTTTGATTTGGAAGTAACTCAGCTGATCGCTTCATCGAGAGGGATATCGGGCTTTTACAGACAATTAAAAGTTATGATTTTAGCAATTAAAACAAGAAAAAAAACTGCAGTGTTTAACAACTGTCAGACAAATACGCACCAAGAAAACACAACATTTTAAGTAATCCTAAACTGCATACAAATGTAGATTCTCATTCTTCGCACAAACTTCACATGTGACGGCCTGTATGATAATAAAGCCGCACACTCACCGGTAGTGGAGTGGAATGAAGTAGAAATTGGCAATCTGGACTGCAGGCCAAAGCTGAAACATAAACAGATAACAATAAGACGCACAATATGAGGTCATGTGAAATTTTGATAAATATATTTACTTTATATGTATGTCTATATAAATAAAATGGTAATGCATACGGGCAAAAGCAACAACTTACGTAGTAATTTGAGATCAGGGCATCTGGGTAGTCCTGTGAACGTTTTAAAAATAAGATAATAAAATAAGTTAATAAATCAGTATCATAGCGAGTCACTTTTAAATCAGTGACTCACTCATTGAAGAAGTAAAACACCTTTTGGAAGACATTGTTGCTCAGGAGTTGCTGGTACTTGTTTGTCTTGATATTAAACATCTGTAAAGAAACTGTAAAAGCTCCGGCCTCCTGCTGAGGCAGTAGACTCATTCTCCATCACTGAACAGTTGAAACCGGCGGTGTGGGGCGAAGTGACAAATGGTGATGTGTTGGAACTCCGGTTGGTGGGGAGTTTCATTCCAAAACAACGCCGCACGCAGCCAGAAATACCAGCAGACGGCCAAGATATTGTTGAGTAATTGGTAATGATCGACATCTCTATTAACCTCCTGTGGACACAGTATATTCTAGTTAACTTGTGGTTTGGGAAATCTTTATTTTCCTTTAATGTTCACCAGTCATGCAGAGGACACGTTACTGCATTTAAAAGTAAGAATGGAATCAGAAACAAAAGGCTTCTGGGCAGTGCCTGTTAGATAATGGAAGCTAGCTTATTCATTTCATATCTCAACAAAGTTAGATAGCATTAGCTAAACAAATAAAAGTACGTTTGATTTTCAAATAAGAAATTTACGAGAGTGCACTGTCTGCCATTTTATTTCAGTGTGCAAATTCTGTAAAAAAATCTGATATATTGTGTCCTTTAAACTTATTAATTTGACTTAATTTACTGTTAATATCGCTGTAGAATAAACTATGGAGTCTCTATAATAAAGGGAAACGTGAAAGAGTGAACTAGGGAGAGATTTCAGACACAGCTTCCGTCTCTGTCCATGGTTCTGAAATATTAAAACCATTAAAACCTGCAGTATTTACTTACAGACAAACACCTGCAGCTGCCCTCTCAGCTGGAGATCAAACACATGATCTTAACTTTATTACTTCTGTAAACCAATAAGCAGGTTTCTTACAGGATTTTAAATCCTGAATAGAAAAGACATAAATGTGACTCAACCAGTGGTAGAAGAAGTACTCCGATCTTGTAAAAGTGTAAATAAGTAAAAGTAGAAAAGTATAACAACCAAAATGTCCCTAAAGAACACAAATTGAAAGTATGCAGAATAGCCCAGACATAACAATAAAATTATTATAAGTATATAATAGTATATAAGTATTTAGTAGCAGAAAATGGAAATAATCAAGTACCTCAAAATTGTACTGCTCAGCACTTGTACTTAGTAAGTTTCCACCAATGGGCCCAACAATTTTGGACTCCACAGTAAATACGAAAGGTGTGTGTGACAGCGCTGTGTGTGTGCTAACAACACACACAACCACACACACACACTCTCTAACCCATCTACCTAAAGGTCACCTCAACATGTCTCGACACATAAAAGCAACGAGCCAATGTTCCAGTTGATGACCTTTTTTTTCCGGTTGATTTTATTTTTCTTGCCGGGTAAAACCTGTTTTCTAATTACGGCCAACTTTGTTGCTACTTTGAGCCACCTGAGGTGAAATTGCCTCCACTGATCGCCGCGTCAGAGACACGTCACAGTCTTTCCTCCCACTCTCTGGAGAAGACAGGAGTCTTCCTCAGCTCCTCCAGGGGTTGTAAACTGTTTTCAGTTACTTTACAAGAAATTAATGCACTTCAGTGTCTCAAATTAACAGAACGATACAAGACGTGCGACAGCATGTCAATCAAACTGTGATTATGGAAGACTGCTGCCAATTAAAAGAGAGGAAACAGCTTTTAATTATTTAAAGCAAAGTGTTGATTGGGCGTTAACCATCAGAGCGGCTGCTTTAGTGAGCGGCTCCATTCATTTCTCCTCTCACATTTCCTCCGGGCCAGGCGGCCTCTTTGTAATGACCACATTTGTCATTTATTTTCTGTCCTTTCTGACATTTACCAGGTTGGTCTTTCAGGTCCAACGCGCCTCCTTTTGTAAATAATTGATGGTGACCAGCAGCACGCTGGGTAAGCAAGAGGCGGCGAGGGACGTTTGAGCAGCTGGCACCAGAAGGACAGTTAGCTCTGACCTGGCATACAAATACACACACACACACACGAAGGTATGAGTCATTCTCCAGCTATTTCCACAGTCCCCTCGTCGCTTCCTCCATCACAGGAAATAGTTTCTAATAATAATGAGAGGTGAGCGTTGGAGGTCGGATGCTGTGTACTCTGGGCTCTGTTCACACAGGATCTCCAGCCAGTTGGTGTCGAGTCTCAGGGAGAAATTGCGGAACACAAATCAAGTCAAAACAGATCGAAGACCAAGAGTCCAGTACCAACGTAAAGCTACTACAAGGAGTGTTAACCGGTTATGAAACAGTCTCTAGTTAATACTGACTGCGCTTCATGACGGACTGGTCCTGTAGACCCGAAGAGGATCTAAATTTTGACGGGCAAAAATTGGCGGCGAGTGTTACGTTAGCCAGTTTAATGGATTTGAAAGGTTTCAAAGTCGGTGATTTGTCCCCCTTCCTCCTAGACTGGAGCCAATATGTCTATGTTATTTATTAAATACATTGTGAGTCTTGGTGTTAATTAGGGGTGGACGGTATAGAAGGTACGGAAAGTACACCGGTATGAATTTGCCGTATGAATGATATCAGTTTTAGGCCATACCAGCCCTGGATTCAAGATATGAATCAGCACTGCACAGCCATTATGACCAACATGCATCAGGCTATCTACAGCAGGCTGTATACAGCTGAGAGGCTAGACCACTAAACCTATTCATGACTAACCTGCGTCTCTCTTTCACTCACTTACAGAATGAATGCATGTGCTAACCAGATCAAGACCCAGAGGACACGAGGCGACCGCGGTGCTCATGGAAAACACCACGGGGGCCAAAACCAACAAAAAAATAAATAAAGATAGATAGATAGATAGAGATAGATATATATCTATATCTTGCTGTTGCTTAAAAAAAACAAAAAAAGTGTTTTGTGAATAGTTTACAGCTGAAAAGCAACCTCGAAGAACAGAAAAGAGAGTCGAATGGAAAAGTTCGTCAAATCTGGAATTTCAACGAAACCCGTTTAAAGTATTTTTCTTATGTTGTTGATATTAATTCAAGTGTAAAATATTTCTGTTTTGATTCACAGCGATACATTTTCAAGCCAGGTCCGTTAGGGTTAGGTCCACCTCCTCGTTGAGCCTTGAATGCAACATTCATGAATGGAAAATGAGCCGAGGACAGATGAGGTCAAACACCGAACTTTTAACCTCAAGTGGAGATCAGTTTGAGAGTTTAAGGCTCAACTGAGCAAACATCACCCGGCTTATTTCCCACATCCCAACTACTCAACATTGGAATACTCGTGTAAGGATACCAATAAAATTAAAAAAAGGAGTTGGACTATTTTTACATTCTGCATGTTTCAGGAAAATACATGCTGCATCTAAGAGTAAGTCTGAGAGTTATTAAGAGTGACCAGTCCTTAGAGCCAGTTTCACTTGATGGCCGATGTTGAAAGTGGAACACTTTAAATACCGTGGTCCAATTCCGGACTCCCAGGTGAGCTTTGTGACTTTATCTTCCAGGAAACGTAGCGGTTTTGTTGTCAATTAGGAGATACAAGAAGAGTTTACAAAACAGAGCTGACAGTGTTTCTACTTTTTAACCTTCCTGTCTTGGCAGACAACAAAAACCCCTCGACTCAACGTTTGACAGAGAGGACGGAAGCAAAGAGTACGCTGGCAGATGGCTCCCATCTTCTCCCTCTGGCAACTCAAAATGTATTTAAGCAGTCCTTCGTCCCAAGAGCCAACAATGTTCTCACCTCCGTCAACAAAGTGACCCGACCTTGTCTGTGTTTGTTTTACTAACCGCTTGTCTGCCTTTTATGTTGTTGTGTCTTATTCCCCCCCGATGGACAATAAAGATATATTCTATTTTAACTGCTGCAATAAACGCTCTCTCTCACACACACACACACACACACACACACACACACACACACACACACA